GTTATTTCAATCCTAAAGCAAATATTATTATGATTAAAATTTTTATACCGCCAAGCCATACCAGGGTAACAGCCCTATGTTCTTGAAGTTTCAGTTTCTCGTCATAAGTATTTTCTCAGTCACATGGAATTTTCGTATTATTAGTGGTAAATTTGGCTAATCTTTTTAACGTTAAAACAACTTTAACGTAATCTAAGTATTTTAAAGTAAAGAGGCAAAATCAGGGTAATTTTAAAGTCGCCGGCATTGAGGTTCATCCTTCAAATATAAGAATACCGGTCCAAATATTTCACATAATGTTGCATTTTCAAAATAGAGTTTCCACAACAAATCACATTTGGTGGTAGATACCCCATCTCCAAAGCCCAATAATCTATCTAATGGGGCACAAATCACCTCCCCCCCCCTAGCTGCGAATATCATAAAGGAACGATCCTTAGACCTCTTGCTTTCCTTTTTCATCCTTCAAAAATATGGATAGGCACTTGCCATTTTGAAGCGAACAGAGCTCATTGTCTAATGCTAAATGATTTAGGTCCCTGTCAGAATACAAATAAAAAAAACCCAATTTCCTTCTCAGTCAATCTAAATCAACCGCTTTAAAAGAGCAAACATAAAAACACAAGTTAAAATGACGGATCTTAAAAATTTCTTCGTTTATTTTCCGTATCATTTGCGCCACGATCTTCTTCGCCTTGAGCGTCTGCGCCCAGAACGTCTGCGGCCAGAACGTCTGCGCCCAGAACGTCTGCGCCAAGAACGTCTTCGCCGTAAACGTCTCCGCCAAAAACGTCTGCGCCAAAAAAGTCTGCGCCTGCGTCTGCGTCTCCGCCAGTGTGGATCAGATACAGAGCCGTCCTTTGCTAACTGATCAGAACTATCTGAAAGAGACCATTAAAAAATTTAAATAAAGATTTCATAATAACTAAAAAAAGACAAAATTTCGATATTTGATTGTATGAGGACCATAATGAGCCTCAATTACCAATAAATAACATTGAAAGCTATTGTTAGAAGTGTAAACTTTTACATCGACTGAAATTTCTACACATCTTATTGCCAAAGATTCTAAGACGTTAAAAGACAACCGGGGGGGGGGGGCGGCCTAACAGGGAGGTCCAGTTAGAGTGAAAGAAAGCCAAAGCTAAAATGTTTAAAAATGCCCTCAAATGGTATACCTTTTTGACAATAAGCCTCAAATGGTAGCATACGGATGGAAATTAAGTTATTGAAGCCGTTGTGTTATTATCGAAACTGGTTCGTTTGGTAAGACCCCTAAACGGAGTGGACCCCCCTGTCAGGCCTTAATGGGATTACCCCTCTGGGACTAGTACCTTCAGATAATTCATTGTCCTCTTTCATTTCTGTAGCATCGCTGTCCTCGTGCAGTCCTGCAGCATCACTGTCCTCGTCTTCAAAGGGCTCTTCAGCTTCTGGCTCATTTTCTTTATCGCTGCTACAGAAATCTTCCTCTACATCAACTTCTTTCGGAACACTCTTCTCCACCAATTGTTCCTCAACCCTTGCACCTATGAAATTAAAGAAACGCAATGTAAGCCTCGCTATTTGAATAAATAATTGCTAAGTGAATATGGAAAATGTCATGGGCTTAGTACTATAGTGTATTTACGAGCAAAAAAGCTGATTGTCTCTGGGTAAAGTCAGTCTCAAAGTCGAAAGCAAGTAATTGTGGTTAACACGACATCTTTGCTTCAACTTATACAATCTACTTCAACGAAAATTATTACTCGTTACAATAAATTTATATTTACTTACAATGAGAAGCCTTTTCAAAGCTTTGGGGCCACTATGAAACAGATGCAATTATTTGAAGTGCTAATAAATATAATCAAGTACATTTGTCATTTTTCGCCAGCTCTTTAAACAAAAAATAGCAAGCAAGGCTGCACCTACCATTGATTGAAATGACAAATCCAAGAAGGACACAAAACAGCAACACGACCTTCATCTTGGAACAGGTTTACAGCGTTCTCAGCTCAGACGTGCTTTTCAACCTCTCCTCTGACACAGAATATCTCTATTCTCTGCTTCCAAGCGAAACTGCTAAAACTGCACGAGTCTGCTTTTTTATACCCTCTTAACTTGATTTCCGGTTAACATAGTTATTTTTGGTCAGATAGCCAGCCCCCTCAACTGTTAAAACAAGCTTCTGGAATAAAGCTAGATTATTGCCAAAAATCTCTAGGGTTTTTTGTATTTTATCGGATTTACATACCCCTCATTGTAGTCAAAGATCCATTCTAATCCAAGCCAAACCGTCCCAGTTGGGCCTTCCTCAAACATTCCATTACAATCTTCGATATGGGAAATGACGACTTGATAACTACCAAGTAAAACGTGCCGAGTGCGCTCGAAAAAATTTAAGGAAGTCAAAGGCACAAAAATTCCATTAAACCATAACTAATAGAAAAACTCTCCTTGGCATAACTTTTCAAAGAGACTGCAAGGTTACAAGTGGGTTTTTGTTACAGCCATTTGGGTGACGTGACTTTGAACAGTGCCCTGTAGTCACGTGTCCCACATTTGTGCAACCTCCTTCAGTGAAAATGGATTCAACCTTTTGGTGGTACAAAACTTGTAAATGGCTTTGAAAAAAGCAAACATTTAGTAAACTAAAGCTTTTCGTCTGACACTCTTCAGAGTTTAAAACGTCAGAACATAGATCGAAAACTCCACGCTAAGAAATATATATACCCAGTTGTGGATCTGATTGGTCAAGCGGCACTGATTGGTCAACCTATACAGTCATGTGCTCGTGTTTCTGATTGGCCTATTTCGACTTTTCTGTGATAAAGCCTTCACTGTTTCTTCTCACAAAAAAGATATCGCATGCTTGAAAAATACCAATTACTCCAAAAACCTTGAAAGAAATTGGTTTATGATTCTAGACATAATGTGTTTCTTCTTATGGCAAACTAGCACATTTTTTCTAGTCCAATCAGCGGGTTTGTTTACAAAATGTTATTAGCCAATCACCGGCTTCTATTGTGTGCTTGATTTTTTCAATGTTTCAAACCAAAAAATTTACGTTTCAATACAAAAATTTTTTCACTAGAGGACATAGTCAGTACCTTCAGATAATTCATTGACCTCATCCGGTTCTGTAGCATCGCTTTTCTCTTCCAGTCAAGCGGCGAAACTTCTGGAGATGAGAAATGAAAAAATTGAAGTACACCAAAATATGAAGACCACTGAATGAATCAACTTCCTAGACATAGAAGAACAAGCAAATAAATTCAAATTCCTGATAAATCATAAACAAAGTTAATGCAGAGAGTTTTTTATCATATTCATTTAACATAGTTGGGTAAGGGGCTAGGAAGGCTGCAAATAATTTTTATTGCACTACCCTTGTGTTCACATCTAGATCCAAAGCCAAAAAAATCTTGTGAGAAACTCAGCTTATGAACAACAATTACCTTTGTCTTGCATGCAGAAGAAGAAAATTACTCCAAAGAAGAGACGGGATGCATAAGAGTATAATGTGTCTCATTTGGCCAGTAAAATTTAAAGAAAAAGAATACTTTTCAATTCTTTATAATTTCAGTGCTTTGCCAACATCACTGGAACCTTCAAATGAAATATTTCGAAATAGAGGCAGATGATCAACTAATGAGGTTTTGTAAGCAAAAAAAGGTTTAAAATTTGTAAACAATTTGTCTAAAACAAAAAGTGATCACGTCTTTTTGGCATTTTTACCGCTACCTCCCTCCCCCCAAATGCTCAGAAATTTTGTATTTGGAAAGTGCATATTGGTAGTAAAATATGAACCTCAGAGGGGTTGGGTGGATGTGATTCTTGAGACATAATACAAAATCAGGAGGGATTTACAACTGTAAAAACCAAATTGAGCAACAAGATTCAGAATATTAATGGAATTGTGAAGCATAAAGTTGTTGAATAAACGGGCCATCATAAAAAGCTACTTAAGTCTGATATTTTCTTGATAAAAAACCATTGGTAGGGCCATTGAGAAAAGGGTAGGGGGCACATTGTCTAAGGATCTCGAGAGATGATGGCTGCAAACATATCCTGGCTTTTATCCTAAGCTCATCTAATTTACGTGGTAGCAAACTTTTGTTGCCGGATTCGCTCATACAGGACTCCTCTTTCCATTCTTCCACACCGTCTCAGACATTTGTCAGTACCCTTGCCCGTCTCAGACCAATTGCATTTATTATCTTAAACAAAAGTGACAAGAAAGGGTTTTTTCCGAATTCTTTAGGGCATGGTCAGGTAAAACTTTGGTTCCGTTAGTCTCTGCCTCCTTCCCCATCCCAATACCCTGGCTACGCCACTGATTTCAGACAAACGTCGCAGGGGGGTAGGGTTTAGAATGACCAGAACACTGCTCGATAAGCAAAGTCTCTCACGGTCCTGAAACCTGGACTTGCCACAAGTCTCTCGCTTGTTTTCTCCTTCTTCCGTTTTTTCCGCGAAAGAGACTTTTGGCAAGTCCACCTGAAACCCAAGTCCATTTTTATGCCTTTTTACCTCGGTCAGACTCTTCAAGGATTGTTTTAACTTTAGTCCCTTTTTCTGATATAAGAAAATGACTGTGGACGTGATATCTCTATAAAAACAAAACATACACTTTTCTTATTGCGCCCCATTGCAAAGCAGAATAAGGAAACTAATAATCCACTTTATATCAACAAACTGGGTTGAATGCAGATTCGTATTGCTTGAAAAATTTGGCTGGGTTTGTTATTAAGCTAATTCAATTGGCTCAATGATTCTGATATAAAAATCTTTTTCCAAAAACTTTAATCGTTGAAAAGAAAGATTGAGCTCTATTCTCCTGGCCTCCATTTGGGTGATTAATCCCAAGTTTACTGTGACGAAAGAAACTCGATTTCGAGTCTCATCAATCTGACGTCACAGACTGACGAAAATCGCTATAAATTCGATGTTAGCCATATATTTATCAGAATGTTTTATGATTCAATATCGAAACACTGTTTACTAATCTCGAAAGCATGGCAGATACGAATATATCGCGAAACAAGAGAAGAAGAATGCGAGAGAAGGATCGCATGATTATGCTGAACGAGGAGCTAGTTAATTTGAGACAACAAATGGCTGCATTGAAAGAAGGAAGCAATCGCTCGTCTACAGAGATGGCAGAATTGCGATGCACTAACAAGAAACTTCTTGACAGTCTTCATACCGAAAAACAAAGTTGTCAAGCACCAAGACAAGAATCTGAGGTAAGATGCTAAAGATTCTGAAACGAAAAGATAAAAGCCCTTATTATTCTTCGTTTGCTCTTAGAAATTCATACCTATCTCTAGAAGTGGATGGAACAGTATTGTGATGGAAATGATAAAAGATTGAGAAAGATAACGATGATTTTTAATTTTAGGGCAAAAGGAATGTATTCTCAGATGTCACTTTAACTGGATACACTGGTAAAAGAAGCTTTTCTTAAAATTGTAAAAATTGTATTTTAGGAACTGGCTGCCCCTCTTGAAGAAATGGATGCATATATTTGCCAGTCATCTACGACAAAGCATTGCACATCATTCAAAGACAAGGAGTCTGAAACGGATGTTGAATCTCAAACCGATCTTCAGATTTCCAACGACGATGCAAATGAAAAAGAAGATTTGAAGGAAGAAAATAGTAGCCTCAAGGAAATAATCAAGGAGTTACAAAAGCAACTCGCTGACGAGAGAAAGATGAACGAAAATAACAAGATACAAATTGAGTCTTTGAAAGGCAAAGCTAAAACGTTTGAAGACCATTCTACCCTTCTGGCTTACGAGCTCCACGAAATGACGGTGGATAGAAACTCTTTGCTGAATGCGCTGGAAGGCAAGCAGGAAAAGATCAAGACCATTCAATCAAAAAACAAGGCAAAAATTAAAAAGATGGCTGATCAACATGAAGTAAAACTCTACGATGAGCAGGTCAAGAGTTATCAACTGCGTGTGCAAAACAAGAATCTCAAAGCTGAACTCGATCAAGTGAAGAGCCAGCTGGAAGATCAGAAGCTACAATTGACAGTGACAACTTTTCTAAATGACATTGTCAATGATGTAGAAGGCCTCGTTAAACAGAAGGAAAGTGCGTCACTAAGAGATCATATTCAGCAGCTGCAGTTTGAACTTGCTCAGGCAGAAAACGTGAAGAGGCTTCAACAACACAAAGAGGAGCAGGGAGCAGAGGAATATCAGAAGCTTTTTGGCCAATATCAAATTCTTAAACAGCAGAACGGACGGCTTGAAGAAGACAACACACGGCTCAGGAAGAGAGTACTTGTAATGCGCAAGGAAAACACCGAGGCCCACGAAAAGTTCTTGGAAGAGCAAACTGACCGAATCAATGCGAAGATGTCGTTCGTGGCACAAATAAAGCAGCTTGAAGAGAACTGTACCAGTTTAAAAGAGGCGAATGCAACCCTATCTAAAGATGGCCAACGTTTAAAGCACGCTTTCGAGAGAAAGAATAAAGACAACGATGGACTGATGGAAGTCATCGAAGAGCTTATGGAAAGAGTTGAGGAGAAAGAAAATATCATTGAAGAACTTCAAGCAAAGAAGCACAGAGGATGTTTACGAAGATTGGTTTGCTGGAAATGATCAGGATGGGAAGAGGAACTCTTCTTATCCGAAATCAATTGTATTTGTGTTGCGGGAACATTTTGACATAGTCATTCTGCTTTTTTGTAAATATTGAATCGGTTTTAATGATATTGCTATTGCATAAAAATCAGTTTTTTATGACAGTAGTTTCTACGTTTTGGACACGATACGAAAAAGCCATGCATGGTGTTTATAGAGAAGATTTGATTTTGGCACTCACTGTTCTAAATGAAACATTAAATGACAGGCATGTTTGAAAATGGATACCAGGAAATACCAAATCGGTCATTATCCTCTAAAGTTGTCTTTTTCGTTTCAATTCATGAATATTTAGGAAATATCAAAATTTTCGGTACCAGTATCTCAGAAACAATATTATCTTGCAGCAATGCACCAATCATTGATCGACTTTGGCCCTTGTTTTCTCTCCTTCAATGCCCCACGTTTAGCACCAATTAGTTGCAGTAGGGGGTGTGATGTGAATGCAAACATTGATAATAAAATAAATATTTCATATTTTCATCCGCTTATATCGTGAAAATATGCTAAAATACCATCTGCTCATATTATTCACGTTACGTGAATTGATCATGTGACAGCTTGACATGTGATTTCAAACAAAGAAGCCCTCATCTAACTAGAAGGATTGCTCAGTTTTCAATGGCGCAGACTACAGATCCAAGTTTCTGGCGTTTGAGTGCCTGCCAAAAATTTCAGCCAGATTGAGGGGAGTCACCAGCAATCTGTAATTGTCGGCACAGGTAGCACGAGGTCTTGTCACATCGAGATTAAGGACTAGATCACTGCACAATAAGTATAGCTTCACGGTGCCCTAAAAGCTACCTTCAGAAGCAAGGAAGTAAAAATATGAATTATGTCTATGCCATTTCGTCTTGACACATACAGAGTTGATTTAGTTTTAGCCTCTCCTCCCATTAGAGAGGATTCAAAAATGAAGAATTTAAGAATTTAGTCCCTCTAAAGTAAGTTTAACCTTAAGGGTTGCAAACTTTCTCAAATGGGAAGCGCGCACTTGAAGGAGAAGGGTTTTGAAGTGTACCAGGACCTAAAGAAACAAATTAAAAATTTTGGAGAAATCTGGAAACCCGGACTAAATTTGAAAAATAAAATATAACTAGCTTGACATCCCCGACGTTTTCCATTAGCGAATACCCGTAAACACGTTATCAAACTTTAGCAAAGTCAAACCTTCATCGTTATCAAACCTTTATCACAAAGCCTCCGTCCTACCGCACGCTTTTACCTCAACATCGCCATCCCACAAACACCGAAGTTCCCCCCTCCTCCTTTAAAGCAAACGTAATTAGATTTGAATAACAAATTCAAGCAGATGCACCATGTATGTTCTTTATAAACGTGTATACTTCCTGTTACCCAGCTCCCCCTCTCTGCTATTATTGAAAAGAAAGTACTTATTTGCACATTCTAAGGGTATATGCGCTAAAGAAAAGTGGTTTAGCATGAAATTGTTCTGCAAAAGATAAACACATTAAGTTGTTTTAGCTCGGGCCAGAGTAGTATGGGTGAATCATATCGATGCTTTTGTAAACTTTTAAAAAGCAGTAGCCTCGCTTTCATAACTGCATTCTTTGTTGCTCCACACCCTCGATTTCAAATTTAGCTTAAACTGGATTTTTGACACCTATGATTTTGCTTTGGGAACTTTTACAATCTGTCAAACCTGTTTGCATGGTCGGTGATTCCATGGTGATTTGAAACGGACGAAACGAAATGAAGCAACGGAGATAGAAAATATTTTAAAATGATTTCTGATATGCAACTGCCACCAGCCGTCAAATTTCTAGTGTTAGAACATTGTGCAGTTGCTTACAACTTCTTTTACTTGCCCTCAAGATGGTTGAAACCTATCTGGATACGGCCCTGATTACTTGTTAAAAAACCAAGGGGGTACTTTGATACATTTAGAATCGGGATGCTCGGCGTAATGTTTGGTCTTAAAACATTAAAAAGCATACCTTTTTGATTAAGGTATTCGTTGAAATACTTGTATGGAAGGATGAACAGATGAATTCAATTGAGTTAGGAACACAAGGAATCGCTAATAAACCTTTTTATAGATTATGTCGAAATTAGCAAGGTCTGAATTGAAGTCAAACAGTAAATTAGGTTTGTTAGTTAAAGGCCTATTACATTACCATTAAGTCAGATGCGAAAAACAATCGGATCAGTTTATGGTTTACACTCATTTTTTTATAAGAAACAAAGGTCGATGTTGAATACTCCAGTTTCTTAATGTTCTGAAAATTTCAGTACTCATTGTTTCTTAAGAGTTTCTTAATTATGATGTCATGAATGATGTTATGAAATGTTCGTGACCTTTTTTATCACTTCAAGAGATTCACTCCTGTTCTGATGCTGTATTTAGATGTGGGAAGCATATTTTTATCCCTTGTGTTTTAATTTCTAGGCCAACAGGGCAATCATGTTCTTGGATTTTTCAAAATTTCCTTGTTCTCAGTTTTATCACGATTTAACAGTGTCTTAATTTTTTTGCTTCGAGTACTGAAGATTCTTAACTTTTTCTGACTGTCAAGTTCCCCGTTTCTTATAGCCTATTTCTTTTGAAAAAATGATTGTGGTTGAATCACGAGAAAGAAACTCCAAAATAACAGGATAAGAACCCCATTTTCCTAAGTTTCAGTGTGTCATCATAAAATTTTCAGGGTCTTTTGTAGTATTTTAAAATTATTTCCGCCAGTATTGACTTGTTTTTTAAGGTCTTTAACTGAAGGAATTGTCGAAATTGTCAACTTTTTGTGTGATAAGGAATTGTCAAAATACCCATCATTTGAAATACATCTGTGTTGTGTCACGTTTCATGGTAATTGCCCCATCCTCCATGATTAAAAGCTACTCTACTGGGCTTCAACCCTTTAGCTGCCGATGTCATAAAAAAGCCATCATAGGACCTCTTCTTCTTGTTTTATATCTCTAAAATCGATGGGAAAGAAGCTACAATGACTGCCAAAAGTCTTGGAAAACTAACGTAAGTTTTCAAAGGCAAACTCATCCACCCCCCTCTCCCCCTAGGAACAATGTTGATTTACTATAGAGAAAAGGAAGGGGTTGTTGAGTACGCTTTTTCGTGTGCATTCTCGTGGTAGTATTCAATAAAACAAATGAAAAATAGAAAAGCACAGCGGAAAGTGTTAGGTGTTACAAGTAATTTTGGCAGTGATTGTAGCTTTAATTTTGTATCAAATGTGTGGTAGCAATTCAGCACTACTGGTGAAGGCACATGCAGTTTGGAAGTAAATAAAGGTAATTGTCCTGGCGAAAGAATGACGGTTTCTTTCAGAAAATGACAGAAAATAAAACCAAATATCTTTCTCAGGCTATCTTTATAAATTACTTGAAATATGCAAACAAAAAAACAAAAAACAAAACGAGCAAGTAGAAGCATCTTAATCAGTTCCTTGCTTATTTCCCGTATCTCCTGCGTCTGCGCCAAGAACGTCTTCGCCAAGAACGTTCGAGGAAACTACTTCGGCGTCTATAAAGTCTGCGGAAGCTACTTCTGCGCCTGTAACGTCTGCGGAAGCTACGTCTACGCATGTGACGTCTGCGGAAGCTACTTCTGCGCCTGTAACGTCTGCGGAAGCTACGTCTACGCATGTGACGTCTGCGGAAGCTACTTCTGCGCCTGTAACGTCTGCGGAAGCTACTTCTGCGCCTGTAACGTCTGCGGAAGCTACTTCTGCGCCTGTAACGTCTGCGTGAACCCCAGGCAAGGGGATCTGATACAGTGCTGTCCTTCGCTGTCAGTTCAGAGTTGTCTAAAAGAAAACCATTTAAAATACATTTAACGATGAAAGACATAAATATGAGGAAAGGCTTTTTCCATCAAATAATTAATATAATATTTCTTCAGAGCCTTTCATCGAAGTAAACATTTAAGAAGTATTTTGTCATATAAAACTGCCAGTGGCGTCACCACGGGGTGGATTGGGATGGACATGTCCACCCCAAAGTTCCCTGGAGTTAATTTTCTAGTTTCTCGAAATCTGTTGCAGAACCTTGGGGAGGGGGTTGGGCTAATCAGATCGATTTCGATTTTTGGATTGGCAAAAAGCCACGGTTTTGAATAATGTTGCTTGAGACAGTGGCTTGTCTGAAAATTTCAAAATTGATAAAACATACGAAAAAAATGATGATCCAAGAGTCTGGAAGGCATGGCCGAGAAATTTGTCCTTGTCCACCCCAGTTTTTTCGAGCTGGTGACGCCACTGAAAACTGCTAAAGAACCAACGAAATTAAAAGACGATAATTACCTTCAGCTACATCACTGTCCTCTTCCGGCTCTATAGCATCACTGTCCTCTCCCGGCTCTATAGCATCACTGTCTTCATCTTCAAAAGGCTCTTCAGCTTCTGGGTCTTCCTCTTCTTCGCTTGTAGAATCTTCCTCTACATTAACCTCTTCTGGGACACTCTTCTCCGCCACCTCGTTGGAGCTATCTTCAAGAGCTGCTCCTATCAAAGTAAAGAGAAATTATGTAAGGAACATAAAGTTGCATATGGAAAAGTAGAAAATGGCTGTTTTTAGTATGAAAGTAACCTCACCCCATTGTCTGGGGATTTACTTCAGTCGCAAAGGCGAAACGGCATGTTAAATGATTTAGCAGCGTAAAAACACTTTTCGACAAATAGGGTAGTACGACAAATATACTTATTCTTAGATATAGAAAAATAATTGCCTTACACACTTAGTTTACATCAACTTACAATGTAAAGTCAGAAACTATTAATTAATTGTATACCTACACAGCTAACGTACGGACTACTATCCTAAAGCCGTTATTTTTCAAAAGCATCGATAACTATAAAAGAGATCATGGAACTTTTTCTCTACTTCCCTACACATATCAAGCATAAAAGGTTACACCTACCGTTGATTGAAATGACGAGTCCAAGAAGGACACAAAGCACCAAAACAGCTTTCATCTTGGAACTGGTTCACAGCGTTGTCAGCTCAAACCGCTGCTTCTTCAACACAGAATATCTTTATTCTGAGCTTCCAAGCGCAACTGCGAAAACTGCACGAGTTTGCTTTTTATACCTCGTATCTTGAATTCAATTTTACATAGTTACTTTTTCAAAAGATTCTAACAGACTATGCCGGTCCCTGTGGGGTCTTTTTCTTACACTTTTATTCCATTTTATGGGAGGTGATAACTTGATAATCAGCAAGTTAAATGAGTCAAAGGCACCAGTCGCCATTATAAAAAATTAAACGAAGAATCCCTCTTTTGTAGGCTGATGATAATACGGGGCTTGGGAGTGGTGAATATGGTGATGTTACCCTTTATGATACTCTGATCAACAAAAGAATGTTCTTACTTCTCAAAA